TTAAATTCACATGTTGAAACCTAATCATCAATGTGGGGATGTTAGAAGGTGATCAGATCATGAGGGCAGAGTCCTAATGAATGGGATTAGGGCCCTTATAAGAGATCTGGAGAGCTGCCTAGTTATCTTCTACCACTTGAGGACACAGTAAGAAGATGCCATCTATTGAACCAGAAAGTGGGCCCTCACCAGACACCAAATCTGCCAATGCCTTGATCTTGAACTTCCCAGCCTCCAGAACTATGAGAAATAAATTTCTGTTGTTTATAAGCTACCCATATTATGGTATTTTGTTATCACAGCTAAATGTATTATATTAAGACAGCTATGTAGCAGTGTAGGTTTCCAGGGAAGCAGACTCTGTGATAGAAATGTGCATGCAGGAAATGTATTTATTGGGCAGTGTTGTCTCGATGAGGACCAGTGAGAGTGGGAGAATGAAACAGGATGGACAGAGCGAGAAGTCGAACTCTATTGAAGTCCCAACAAATGTCTCAGTTGATCCCTTGAGAGACCTCTGAAGTTGGGAGGGCCCCTCAAAGATGTCTTGAATTAAGGCAAGGGCAAGGCCTTTATATCCCCACAACAACTTGTCACTGGATATCTTCTGACCCATGAAGGGGCATTAACTTTGAATGAGGTGACTCTCTTTAGCCAGGAGCAATTTCCAGAGAAGAACTCAGCAGAGAGCTGCCAACTACCAACATTCCCAGCCTCTGAGGGAGTGAGTGCTTCAGGCTTGAACGGGTTTGGGGATTCATGGGAATCTAGGAAGCACATCACAGCATCTACTACAGATGATCAAAAGGAATGATAAATAATTTACAGCAAAGTTCTGTCTCAATCCCAGATATAAATAAACTTGAAATTATGAAACAGGAAAATTCCAGCAAGAAAACAAAGAAAAGACCTCTAAATAGTGAGGGAAATTCTTTCAGAGAATACTCCTTCTAATCTAAAGGATGTTTTCTCCACAACTTTAAGTTAGATAAATCTATAAACCTCCCACTCACATTGGATTTTACTCAAAATCATTTCATAGGTAATTATACACCAATAGTGTTTTTCCAGAATGTAAACACTGGAGAATTATATCTTTAAATTTTTGCTATTTAACTTATATAAATGACACTTTGCAATTTATAAAATACTACTGCATACATGGCATAATTTGACATTTGACTCTCACAATAACCTCATTCAGTTAGACCATTTACTCAATATCACTAAGTGGCAATATGTGTTTTTTAGCTAATGGCTAAAGGTTTTTAATAACAGGGATAATGTCTTTATTGTACACTGAGGTACACTAATGCCTATCACAGTGCCTGAAACAATAGCAGTCAATAAATAATTGAACTGTATAAATTTCTGGAAGGAATTTATAGTTTCTTTGTGTTATCTGTATTTTATATGGCATTTACATAATATATGCTTATATGTAGCATATCGAAGTAGTTGTGTAAATTGTATCTGGTTTATTGAATAAAATATAAATTAACATATACTGTATGTTTTTCTTAAGCAGGAATAGTAAAAATATTTGGGCCCAACTGATCCTTGCTCATTACACCAATCAGTTTGGATAGGAATTAATTTGGCCCTAGAAAATCACATGGAGGAAAAAATGGGTCTCATGAGCATTCAAAGTCTCTGATTTTTTGGGAGAAAATCATCTTCCAAGAAGTAGTTCCCCAAAATGTTGCTTAATGCTAGACTATAGGAGGAAAATAAAGGCATATGGAAATCCGAATTTTATTATGTTTCTGAATTTGTGATATTGAATAACTTTTCAGATGTGACATTAAAGATGACTCATAAGCCCTACATCTGACTATGGTAATAATAATAATATTCATTTGTGTACTATAAACTACTGGGTTGAGAGATGAGTTGTCTCTCCCAAGCCTACAAAAAATTAATGTGGAACACCTGATATTTGACTGTGCTTCCAGATGGAGGGACAGCTTGACAAATGCCATCATAATTTACAACTTTTAAAAAGTGTGGTGTGAATGCATTTGCAGTAAGCTTTAAACAGCTTGGAGTATTTACAGGTACAACTGTGTTTAATGTGCAATTTCAATGGATTTAAAATATTATTAGATTCAATCACTGATCACAGAGTATAGGTAGGGCATGTGAGCAATGTGATTAGACGCCTTAATTAAATATCTCAGAACAGGATACATCTGTTTGGTGAAGTTTGGGGGATGGTAAAATAACATTTGAAATTTTATATTTGGTTGTTGACTGTCACTGATGAACCTCTTATCTTCAGAAAGACAACATAAAATTTGAAATTATCCTCTATGGTCATTTAGGAGAAAAATAGTCACAGAAAACAAATATGGGAATGTAGTGTCTAACTCTTAAGGATAACTTGGATACTTGTACCCATAAAACAAGTAAAGTGTCAATTGCTCCCTGATAAGATTTGTGTTATAGTGTAATCTGAAAAAGCAGAAAAGTCTGTATCCTTGGAAATTAGGAAATTGAATATTGAACCTGACTGATTAAATTGGAGAAGAAATAATGTGTGTTATAATTATACATATATCATATTGTACCTACATTATGTATGTCAAAATATATGTGGGCATCTCCTTTCTCTTTTTCAATATATACATATGTTTGTGTATATAAGTTTGTGTGTTTATATGTGTTTATGTTTACATATTTATATATATATGTGTGTGTGTGTGTGTGTGTGTATATATATATATATATATATATATATACACATACGTATATGTATCTATCTCCAGGAGGATATAGAGGAAGTAGTAAGGTATGGTTGTGGGGAAATGCAGGAACATCTGACTTTGGAACATCACTCCATGAAAAGGGAAGTAGTTAATTTGACACATTTTAACTAGAAATTTATTGACTGATATTATGATTTACTTTTCAGCAATAAGTACAATGATAAGAATACATGGTGAGGTACTCTTAAAGTTTCTAAAATGAACTGCTTAGTGTATAAACCAAATTCAGGATCTACTCTGTTTATTCAAGCACCAGGTATTCTTGGTCTCTTATATTTCATTCCTGGGCTAGGAACTAAATATTGAGCAGACAATCATACCAGATATGGGCCCTCTCTTCCTGGAGCTTCCATTCTAAATGGAAGACATATATTAAACAAATCCCATTCAAATAAGCATGCAAAAAAATTTGACAGGTCTCTGATGAAAAAACAGGTTGCTATGAACCAAAATGACAAAGATAAGATGGGTCTAATTTTGTTGGTGGTGGGGATGGGTCTGCGAAGCCTTCACTGAGACCTACAGGAAGAACAGAAGGAAAAGAAGATCTCCAAGTGGAGGATGATGTGAAAAGGGAGAGAAATGGTTGGAGGGTGAGAAGATTAGTTTGTAGTTGGAACATAATGAATCAAGGTAAGAGTGGACCCTAGAAAAGGATGGAGAGGAGGGACAAGACAGGTTATTCAGTGTTCATTAAAGAGTCTGTATTACATTCTGACTGCAGTGGACCATGAAGGATTTATACCATGGGTTTGTAGGTGTGTGGGTGCGTGTCTGTGTGGCATGAGCCAATTAATATTTTTTAAAGCTCAGTCTGGAGTAGAGAGGAGGTAAGAGTAGAAGCTGGAATACTAATAGCTTGGACCATGGTGGATGCACTGAAGATGGAGAATGAATGATTTAAGATCTGTTTATGAGGCTGACTCCTTAGAGCTTGGGAATGGATTAAATGAGGGAATGAGGATAAAAGACCGAAGGATGAGTCTAAGGTTTCTATTTAACTCTATGGTTTCTCACAATAATAATATTTGATTCAAGAAAAATGTATCCATTCTCTAGTAAATTCCAGGGTCTGGAAGGTAATCTGCTGGCTTCTTCAGAGAAGTCTACCCTAACCACCCAAGGCACCCATGCCACAGTTACTCTGCACTATTCCTCTTTCACCTTCCAAGCAGGCATCATATTTTGCTTACTTGGAGTATAACCTTCATGAGAGTGATGTGTCTTCTTGAAGACTATATCCAGAGAACCTAACACAGTGTCTGGCATAGTGAAGGTGCTCAATAAATGTTTGTTGAATAAAATGATGAATGTACTAATGAAAAAACAATGATAAAGGGGAAATACCTGACTCCCAGGTGATCACAATCTAGCCAAGAAGATGAAAGAGTGCCATAAATGCCTTAATAGAAATAAGTATAAAATGTTATGGGGGAAAAGGGGGGAAAGTCATTTAACTGGGGGAGAAAAGGAGAGAGATCTGGAATACAGATACCCTCAAGGAAGAGGTGAATATTTTCTGGATTGGGACCAACCCTAAATGAAATCTCTCCCGTCTCCCCAGCAAGCTCTAGAGCAAAACATGAATAGCAGCTCTTCAGAGGAGCTTCACATTTCAGAATAATATATTTTTTTTAAATAGCCATTAGAATAGATTGTTCTGCAAAATTACAACCTTGATTATGTACCGCCTACAGCACTTACCACTTGCCGATCCCGGCTGTAGATATTTTTGCTTGCCTCCCTGCCCCGCCCCTAGGGATTGTGAACTCTCAGAAGACCGGTGCTCCTGTATCCTCCACGGTAGCCCAAAGCCCTGCACGCCTATTTGCTGACGGACGGAGTAACATCTACTACCTCATCCCTGAGGAGTTTCTGAAGATGCAGTTGCCCCTTAGACAATGCTTCTGCCGCGGGGTTGGTGCTGAAGGAAAGAAAAAGTGCAATGTGTCACTTGGAGCGCCAACAGTTTTTATCTTTAATCCGGGGATCCCTCACATCTGGCCCCTCCTGCCTGGCTGAGCCTTTATCAGTTATAGAGCAAAGGCCAGTCCCCATTGCATGGCCCTGTTCCTCCCACCCGCAGGAGGAAAACAAGCAGCCAGGCTGGGGTCGGGTGCTGACGGGACGGCGGAAGGCCGGGCTCAGCGGCTCTGCACAGCGCGGGAAGCCGCAGGGCCGAGCGCGCAGCCCCGCCCCGGGGGCGTCGCCGCCCCGCCCCGTCCCGCCCCGCCCCCACGCCCCCGGCCTTTGCCTTCGCTTTCCTATTTGCACTCGCGCTCGGGCGTGCTGTTACTTCGGTCTCTGACTGGAGCCTGAGGACGCTAGGAGGGTCTGTCTGTGGGAGACTCAAGACTATAGGCACTGCCATGGCCCCTGTGCTTAGCAAGGACGCGGCGGACATCGAGGTATCCCCTGCGCGCCGGCTTGCCCGGGGCGGGAGGGCGGCCCAGCTGGTTGGTACCCGAGAGGCCTCCGTGGCCACCGCGCCGGGGGAGGAATGGGAGACGCGGGAAAGTTTCCCCCGCGGGAGATCTGCGGGAGGCGGAGGAGCGCTGACCCAGAGCCCCGCGTGGGCAGGCGGGAGAGAGGTGGAGGACTTTCCGGTACTGGCGGGGCTGCCCTTAGCGCTGGGACTTGTTTACTTCTGAGGGGATTTAAGGAAGCCGGTCTTGTCTTGCCCTGAGCGGCAGTGACTGAAAAAGCACGGGAGCTGGGGAGAGGTGGACTCTGGGGGATAGTGAGCGCCCCTTTCCCACCCGTTCTACCCCCGCGCCTCCCTCTTAGCCTCCCTATGTTGTTTCTGGACGCCTGCCCACTGCCCTCACCTTCGATTGCTGAATCCTGCTATGCGCAAGGGTGAACTATAGAAATAAAAAAAGAGCGGTGCGTCAGCGGTGGCGGTTGCCGCAAGGCATAGTATTTACGAAATGATTTAACGTGGGGAGGATGGGACAAAGTATTGAGAACACGAAAAATGCTGTGCCCTCAGAAAAGCGGAAGTGAACTGTATTTTTCTCTCCTCTCAACAGTTTTTGATTTCCTCTTGCACTCTTTCTGTAAAAATGTCAGCTTTCTGTGAATAAGGTCCTACCTGAAACAACATGGCCATTTCCTTTGAGTTCTCCCTAGTACCTTATGTATACGATGAGAAGCGTTAATTATAAACAGTGATTTTAGACATGCTAACCCGAGGCCAGCACTTCTGAGCTAAGACAAACTGCTTGTTAGTTTTTTGGTTTTTAATTCTGTTTTGTTTGGAGCTTTTCTTTATTTCAGTCTCCTGCTCTGGTAGAACACGTGTTTGTGTTTGTGTGTATTTTTTTTAGAAATAACAAAAAATTTTCTTTCCTCAGTTTTTTTTTTTTGGCGGCTTAAGTAAAAGTTTAAAACCACCTGTTTGAAAATAGCTGCTTTTGCAGCATTTTGCTCTGTCGTTGATTGGAGAAACTTTGTACTCTGTTTGAAGGAAGGTAGTAGAGTTTCTTCAGGCTCCATACCCTGCTTTGAAAAACCATTTTAGTAACAAGAGCCAAAGTTTATCATGTGGACTTCCTGTGGACATCTCTAGTTAGTTTAATTGTGGTTTCTCTTGTGGATACTTGACTTTTTGATATTGATAAATATGATACATTTAATAAAATATTTGTTAATCTGTGCACAGAGTAAGAGATGACTTGTCTTTTTCTATGTTTGATTTAGGTTCTAATCATTTTTGGTCTTTGTTGACTAACCCCAATTTTTTTTTTTCTTAGCAAGTTAAATAGCAAAATTCTGATAGCATTCTAGCAGTACTGATTTCAGAGATCCGTATGTCAGAGGTTGGGTGGCTTTTGACTGTTTAATTTCACAATGGTATGTTATTTGCTTAATTGATTTCTTTCTCTGTATCTCTCTTGCAATTGTCTTTGAAATCAGTTCTTACCTATATTCCACTGAGGAAAAAGATGCCAGTGAAACATTAAATGTCCAACTTAATTTCACATATTATTTCTACCAAGAACATTGAGGAAGCTCAAGCCTTCTTCCCACTCCACTTGACTCTGTTTAACCTTGGCCTGTTTGGCCAGTCTGCCTGATATTACTTTTAATCTAGAGTGATAGTATTCAAACTCCTTCAGCTTTTATGTAGTTCCCGTATGTGACACTTTAATCGGTAACATCTTTCATCGCACACAGTGCTTTACTTTTCCTTGAAAGTAATACCCGTGATACATGAGCTAAAATACCATGAAAGAGTATGAAATTAATCATTAAAATATAATGCAGTGAGGAAAAATACATTAAGCCTAGGGGAGCACATTCAAGCATAGATGTCTCAGTTGATCCTACTGATTTACCAAAGTTCATTGTTGTGTTGAAGAATCAGAATGAAATATGGAGGCTCAGTTTTCTGTCAAATTTGAATGCTTTCCTTGAACACATTCATTAAAACCTTTGTCTAGAGATTGATCTGATTGTGATCATTGTCTTAGCTTCAAATACATGGAGAAGCAAGTAATCTTTTAAAAAATTGTTGTTATAAAGTAGATAGTAAATCAGATAAGAACACATTGACAAATGTGAAAAGTACTTGGTAAGTGTGAAAAGAACAGAAGGTGACAACCAACTATAATAGTGATTTAATTTTCCTTGCAAATTACCTGCAGAACCTCTGGTTTCAGTGAAGGAGCCAAGAAATATTTTTGTTTCTAGGGGAAAATGTTACTGAGGTATATATAAAGGTGCTTTGAATGATAGTTCTATAATTTCTATCCTAAATCCAATATCACATAGGGATTTGAAGGGTTTGGAATATGGAAAACAATCAGGTCACCAGACTCCAAAGGTGGAATATCACTGGCCTTGGAGACAGGCATAGAAAGGATGAATGATTTGGTAACAGAACCTTGCTTGTCTACTCAAAATTGTTGTTGTTGTAGTAGTAATCATAGAAGTAGTGTAAGAATTCAAGTTGTGTTTTGTTTTTTTCCCCAAACACATTAATGAGGTTTGGAGCCTGGCCTTGGATTGAGGTCTAGCTTTTCCCCTTTTTAAAAGCTGTGTAACTTTGGGCAAGTTACCTACCTTCTCTGAGCTGCACTTGCATAATCTGTTAAGTAAGGAAAATAATAATAGTACGGATAATATACAAATGCCACAAGTTGACAGCTTCTTGTCAGGAAAAAGAACAAATATGTTAAACAATAAAGATAAAAAATATCTTATCCTCAGGAAAATCACTGCCAATGACATAATTAATACTCTAAAGTCCATTAACAACAGTTATATACTTTTACAAGTGGTTTTACTACGTGGGCTTACAATTTGGATACAGTCTGAATTTTGTCAAGAATGACTTTTGAATACAAACTCTCCTCGGAAAATCAGAAGTTCCTATTGGACATTGGGCACTTTCCCTGGCTTCAGCAGTAACTTGATAGTACTTCTTCATTTAGATTGAATTGGTAGCTGGTATGATGTCAATATCTGCACATTTAAAAGCAAGTGAGAATGATTTTGGAATAGTTCACTTTTGTTCAATATCTTGTTCCCCTCCACTGGCAAGGATAATTGAGAATAGACTGTAAAATTGTATAGTTAGAGGAAAATGTACGCAGTTGCGCCAAGCTTTTAACTATTTGAGTACTAATAATTTTGATAAATATTTACAGCCAAACCAAGTTGCTTTCAACCACTCTATTGCTTCCTTAGTCACAATTAGAATCTCGAGATCCTTTCCTTGAATTTTTAGTTAATGAGTGTTAAGGGGTTATAAACTTATTTCACATTTAGTTTGAGTAAAAAGGGATCTTTGTCCATTATCCCCCAAATCAAATACATTTGAATCAAATAGAAATGGTTTCTGAATTACTGATGTTATTACGTCCATTCATTTGAGACGGTAATTGAGAATTTTCTGTATTTATTAACTGGGAAAATTAGATTAAAAATGGTAAATTTGGAAAATGGGAGCATAATTTAAATGTATTGGAGAAAGTGAATTTTAAGAATTTTGAAAAAAAGGAAAGGCATGGGGGTTATAAATTAGCAGAGATGGCAAAAAAAAAAAAAAAAAAAATTCAGAACAGCCTTTATCGCGATTGCATTTGTTCCTGGGGAGAGAGGAGGGTTATGGATCCAAAGGAAAGAATAAAGATTCAACTCTGTAGAAGCCGTGGGTTATTTATTTATTTTTATTTTTATTTTTATATTTTTCCTGAATGTGTAAGTAACAGTCATTTCTTCTCTCCTTTTTAATGATTGGGTACCACAAATATTGTGGAAATGTATTCTTAACTTACTGAGGCTTTTAAAGCCTTTTATTTTTTTAAACTTTTAAAACTTATTTTGTGAGTTAGAGTTGTTGAAAGTATATTTGTCCTCCGTATTTCAAGCTATTTTGTGGTCCGTACTTTAAAATGTTTCTTCTTTCTAAGAAGTTGAGCTGGGGAGCAGAAATGTGTCTAATTAACTGATTCGAAGAGTCACTGATTCCAGTGATAGCTCCTTGTAGTTTTAAGGTACTGCATATTTCTATGTTTGAGCATTTTCATGTGCATTTCAGTGTGGTTTTTTTAAAAAAATTCTCTCTTGAACATGAATTCAGATGACCAATTTTAGTAGTTTTATTAAAAACTGTGAGATCAATGACTAATGATGGCTCTATCACTGGGGTGATTTTTAGATTGGATCTGCTTAATCTTAATGATAGCAGATAGTGTTGACTGATTGCTTAATTCTAAAGTGTGCTGGAATTCAATAGCCTCCTCTCTTATATTCTGGAGGAAAAGTCCACATTTGGATAGCTGAATATTAACAGTAAGGAATTAATAAAAATATTAAGATTTGGAGTCAAAATGCTGATCCAGTTATAGAAAATCTTTAAGCAATCATACCTTTCTTTAACAATCTGAATACAGCATTTTACCAAACTCATAAACAGACAACAACCCAACGGCTGAAAACTAGACCTCCCAGTAAGGTAAAGATGTCTCTGATCACTGTGGGAGAATTCTAATAATTAGTATAAATTTAAGTTGCAAAATTTGGAACACCAAAACTAAAAGACAATGAGACAGAAAAAGATTTTCATAAAATATCATGACAAAGAGAATCTGAGGAGAGATGTGATACAATCTAGCCTTCAATACAGCTAAAAAGGAAATTGAAAAGTAGGATTGGTCAATTTACTTTTCTACATTTTAGCTCTATAGACACACGACAGCTATGTAACAGAGACCTGGAGAGTCCTTAAAACTGTCAAGAAAATTTTATTTCATTTATATTATACCTTAAAATTATTTAATAAGGCATTCTAGGATTATAAATTTGTCTGTAATCAGGACTTTGATTTTAAATTTGATGTGTTTACCTTCTCGACTTCATTTGCTCTTAGTCCACCATATTGAGACAGAAGGTTTTTTTT